CATGAACCTTCTTTGTGGACATTTAAGAAATAAATGCGTGGGACAGGAGGGGTATGAAAGAGAGAACGTGAAGCTAGGCGGAGTAGGATGCATGAACGTGAAGCTAGGCGGAGTAGGATGCATCTATGTTATATAGTGGTGGCTTCCAAATTCTTTCAAGCAATGCTTGGATTTCTTGATCTAGGCGACTTGAATAAATTTTCTTGTTAGTCATATTAACTCGAGGACTGCCATGTGCAGAGTCTCTCCTTAACCTATCAGGTTGATTCTAATCAATTCCGTCATTGCTTTTGGACTTGTCACGAATTTCTGACTTTCCTCCATAGGGCCTCTTTCGTTTTCTCCCTACATTTTTCTCTTGAATTTACGTGCGTTAAGATTGAAATTTGCTTCCCTTGTGTTCTGTAGAACAGGCCTCAAGAGGTGCTGATTTTCATTGTTGGTGGGACAACTTATGAAGAGGCACGCTCTGTTGCCCCACAAAACTCTACAAGTTCTGGGATTCGTTTCGTACTTGGTGGTTCTTCTGTTCTCCATTCCCAGAGGTCCGTGATTCTCCATCCTAGTACGCTTTTCATACATTGNCTTTTGTTCTGCAATAGGCAAATGAAAATTAATTCTATATATATATATATATATATATATATATATACCCTTTGCTTTTCGTATGTATGAGATCGACATTTACTTTTAGGTGTATTTTTTACTATAGACACAAGTTGTGAAGTGTTTTTTACAAGCATACTGAATCACAATGCGACTCCCATTTATATGGAAAACTTCCATTTCTTGTGGTTCTTGTAGAAAGTGTTTTTTTTTTTTCAGTCTTACATGCCGACTCAATGAGTATTTGCCTAATTTTTTCTAGCGGAAAAACAAGTACCAATTTTGTTTGAACTTCAATTCTGAGGCAGGCAGTTCACCTCTCATACGATGTGTAGACACATGTGTGTCTTATTCTCCCTACACAACTGTATACCGGCTAATTCATTTTGCTTCGTGTGAGAACTACGTTACTTGGCAACATATGCAGTTTAATCTGACTTTATGGGATGAAAACCCAAATCGGGACTTGCCTTGTTGCAGCAAAGCAAGATTTTGATTCAGTCTCGTGGTGTATTTTTCCACCAGTGCTCTAAAAAGCGTAAAGCGT